CATTTCTTTCTTGATATAGATTTCCATCGCTCTTCGTCTGGCATTCAACCAAGCCAAAGCAAGTATGCCCTTAATCTCTTTAAACGGTCAACAATGCTTGGAGTGAAACCTTTCTCCTCTCCAGTCACTTATGGTTCTAAGATTTTTCTCTATGATGGTGATCCTCTCAATGATGTCTCAACTTATTGCAGCATTGGTGCATTGCAATACCTCACAAATGACTCGACCTGATATCACTTATGCATTAAATCAGATGTGCCAATTCATGCACCAACCTTGCACCAAACACCTCATTGTGGTTAAACACATTATTCGTTAGATCAAAGGGACTTCTCATTTTGGCATAAAACGTTCTTCTGATGTGACACTTCGGCTTTACTCTGATGCAGATTGGGCTGGCTGTCCAGATAGTCGTTGGTCTACTTCTGGCATGTGTGTTTTTTTTTTGACCGAATCTATTGACTTAGCACACCAAGAAGTAACCTACCGCATCTCGGTCTTGTGCTGAAGCGGAGTATCGTGCCCTTGCTACTACAACTGCTAATATTCAATAGATCATCTTTCTTTTTCGCGACGTACATATCTTTTTACCTTCTCCCCCTGTGATTCATTGTGACAATATCAATGCCATATGTTTAGCATATAATACAGTACTGCATGCCCGTACTAAGCATATTGATATTGATTATCACTTCATTCAATAACGTGTTGCCCGAGGATCATTATATATTCAATTTGTTCCCAGCTTTGCACAATTTCATGATATCTTCACCAAAGGCTTATCTCCTACTCGCTTTCATCTTCTAAGAGACAAGCTGATCGTTCACCTAGTCGCACGCTCATCTTGGGGGAGGGTGTTGAAAGAAAGTATATTTGATTTTGAAAGAGATTTTGGAGTGGTTAACATATATTTGACTTATCTTGGTTTGTTGTAAATATTGCCTGTTATACATATCCTTGTATCGTGTTATATATATCCTTGTTGTACCACTCAATTAATTAAGGATAATTGCAGTTCTCTTCATATACAATGAGACCATTTACCTTTGATATAAGGAGGTCACATCTAATAGGTTGGGTGTGTTACAAAGTGTGAGAAAAAATCCTTTAAAGTTTAAGCTTGGTCAATGGAATAAATGTAACCACCTTATTTCACATTCAGTGGTCAAGATTAATTGTGACCTCCTTGTACCAAAGGTAAATGTTCTCATTGTATATATATTTTTTATATATTTTTTCATATTTTTATTTGACAGGCCCAAAAGATTGTGTGTGTGAAATTTGGTGCAAAACAAATGGCCCCTGGCCCCCAAAATGGGCCAATGTAGCAGTCCACCTTTGGGGGGGACTAATGTCTTATAATTAAAAACTTCCAACAAATCATTTATAACTTTCTTAAAGGAATAATTTTTTGTCCAAAAAAAGGATTAGGTGATCTCATGTGACCAAAATTGTTCATTTGCTCCCATGGGTTCTACAATATATTTTATAAACAAATCTTGGTCTTAAAAGAAAAAGATTAGGTGATCCTTTTTGAAGAACTTGTTCCTCTAGTTGCAAAATTTGATGGACTTCAAAAAATTAACACTCCAAAATCCACTTTTTTAAAATAAATAAATGAATTTAGAGCTCATAAAGGGCACAAATAAAAATATGCACCGAGACTAAAAAAATGGCTTTTGAAATTTATTTTGTTGTTATCAACCCTAGATAGCGTTCCATTCATGCATTTGAAAGCCCTAAAAGTGGTTTTGAAATAAACATATTTAAATAGAGGAGGTTGAGGAATAAAATCTCATCCATGCCTTTCAAATTTGATGGTGATCATTTGAGGTCCTACTTATATGGGTGTGGGAGGGTCTCATAGGATCATTACTCTCTCTCTCTCTCTCTATATATATACACACACACATAAAATAGTAATAGCATTTATTCATAATAAATATCATAATATATGTATAATATTAATATACGGTTATATATTATAAATATTATTATCATAATAGAATAATACTAATCCTAACAAGTATTTGGCACATATGTTGCATGTGATATAATTTTTTAAAAAATAATTGTTAATATGAATCACTATTATTATCATTAGCATTATCTTATTGAATAAATAAGTTATTTATTTTGTTTATAGATATTATTTAATAACATGTAATATAATACATTTATTTTACTTATAGATATTATTTAATAACATGCAATATAACATATTTGTTTTATGGGAAATGACCTTGTGAGACCCTCCCACACCTATATGTGTAGGACCCCAAAGGATCACTATTAAATTTGGCACAGATCTCTAGAAAAGTCAAGTTCCTCACCCATGTGATAACTTTTTTAGAGATCTATGCCAAATTTAATGGTGATCCTTTGGGGTCATACACACATGGGTGCGGGAGGGTCTCATAGGATCATTATTCTTGTTTTTTTATAGATATTATTTAATATATACAATAATCATGTATAATGAAATAACATTGATGCTACAAATAATAGACTCAAAGGATTGATAAAATCAGTGATTAAAACATTGGTGACCCGATTAGGAATCGGGCGATTTGGAATCGGGCGATTTGGAATCGGACGATGTGGATCTCGAATGGCCATGAGCGTCTCGGATCTGGTAAAAATTTAGATTCGGTCTATTCAAAATAGCAGACTTGCTGATTTTTTCATGGAACCGCCAATTCCAACGATTCTTCACAAAGTCCGACCAATTCTTGACCGATTCCGATCGATTCTTCAACTAGTCAAGCAAAAAAAAGAAGAGGATGAACATTTTTTTCATGAATTATTTTTTAAAAAATTTTGAGACAAAAATTTATGATTCCGTCGATTCTTTCAATACAATCCACTGATTCCCCGATCTGACACAGGTATGGGTGTGACTGATTCGAGTCACCGATGCATTTTTTTAAACATTAGATAAAATAGTAGAAAGCTAGCTTTCTTTCTTTATTTGATTTTTAAATATTTATAATTTTACTGTAACTTCAATATGAATTTTAGAATTTTAGGAGTTTCCCTTACAACCTTATCGATCTCTTTTTATTTATCTCTCTATCTATATCATTCTCTCACCAATTTTGATAATCTTATCTATCTCTTTTTATTTATCTCTCTATCATTCTCTTATGATCTCCAAGTACCAATTTTAGGAACCGTATTTATCTCTTTATATTTTTCTTGGTGTTGGGAAGAGGGAGAGAGAGAAACATCAATTTTAAGAACGAAACCTTTGATTGGTGTTGGAAAGAGGAAGAGAGAAAGATAATGGATTTAGGAACCTTAAATCGACGTTGGGAAGAAAGAGGGAGAGGGATTTGATTTTTAGGAACCTTAGATTGTAAAAAAAAGGAGAGAGAGAGGGCAAAGATACTGGATTTAGAAATATTAGATTGGCGTTGGGAAGAGGGAGAGGGAGAGAGATTGGATTTTAGGAACCCTAAATTATGAAAAGAGAGTGTTCATCTCGCTTAATATAAAAGAGATATATATATTATAAGAAAGTAGTAGAAGTAATAATTAGGATCATTAGAATAATATATGATATTATATTTGACAAATTAAATTAAATAATAAAACTAAAAACTCCTGTTATACGAACAAAAACCAAATAATCTACCTTTGCATACTAAAACGATGCATATCCATAGCTTATCAAGTCTTCTAGATGCATGTGCATTTTTTTTTTAAGGGCATTACAAATTATAGTAGAGAAAATATCTCTATATCTTCTATTTTTAAGTTTTATTTATTGATAAACTTAAGATTTCAAAATATATTTTCTAACCCCTGGCCTCTTTAAACCTAAACAAATGTGAGAAATACATGCTCTTTCTAAACCCAATCCTTCATCTCTCTTCACTTATATATCATAAACTTCTCTCTTTCTCTCTCTCCTTTTGTATCTCTCATTTTTCTCTCCTCCCGTGTTTCTCCAAACACCTCTCTCTCTTCCCGATAACCTCTCACCTCCATGAAATATTTCTCTATCTCTAGAAGTTTAGTAGAATGACTTTTAAAAAATGGATGTCTTTTTAGATTTGTTTGACTAAATAAAAGATTTAAATTAGCTAAGGGGATTGGAAGAAATAAAATTTACAATTTTTATGCCCCAAAATATCTTTTAAAACCTTGAGTCTATTGTGCAATAAATTTAAAAATAAGGGGTATGGAGATATTTTCTCATTATAGTAAGCAAAATATTCAAGTTGCTGTTTGGGGTAGCAATTTTTCTAAAATATTGATTTTGACTTTCAAGAAAAATGCCATCAAATGCGACCAGATAACAAAAAGGTGATTATTTGTGTTCTCCATTTTAATTAGATGGTATAGAGGATCGTAGCTGCCCCAAAGTGTTAACACGCAAAAATCAAAGGCGAAATGACTAAAAGGTCTACTATGCCTACTATGCCACGATTTGAATAAAATGACATAAATAACAGCCTTGGTAGAGAAAATGGGTTCTCTCAGAGGTTCTAAACATTCAAATTAAAGTGCGTTTCAAAAATTTCAATAAAAGAGGTTGTTTTGAAGCTAAAAAATCCTAAAATTGATCATTTCGACTTCAAGATGTATGCACATGAGAAAAAAAATAGATTTCAAAGTTTGGAAATAGTGTAACTTGTAATGTATTTTTAGGCTATCAATTTTCAAGTTTTCATAGATCTGCTTGATCTACACTATTTTTTAAAATTTAAATTATTTAATTGGAGATGAAAATAAAATTTAAAGCTATCTCAAATATTTTCATTATTAAAACCATATTTATCGACATTATTTAAAAGTACGTTTTATTTTGATTGTTTGGCATGGCTCAACTGAGGGTAGGAGACAAAGGTCGCATACACAAGCGAGAAGTCGTTTCAAATCCAACCACACCAGAAGCACTAGTTTCGAATCCGACCACACAAGAAGCACTAGAAAAGAGACGGGTAGGCTTTCTAACCTAAAGTGACGAACCCGCAGTGACAAGTTACACCGTTCAAAAGAGAGGTGCAGTACAAGTGGAGTTTAGTTAGAGCCTCGGCCGGTACAAACCGCACCCTAAATAATAAGAAGCGCCGTAAAATAGAGCTAAAATAAGAAATTTTCACTTGTATCCTTTCCTTTTTATAGGCAAATCTATAAATGGCCGCTGAAACTGGGTCCAAATGTTGACCCTCACAAACTTTCTCGACGACTTGGTGCGGAAGCAATTGGAGAGCCAAATTCATGATTCTCAACTGTTTATTGCCCTAATTTTTTGTAGTTCTTATTTCATGTACTGGATTTTGCCCTAAATTTTGGAGATCCTTGTTCTCAACTTGTCTTTGCCCTAGTTCTTCTCTTTTTCTGGTTTTGGTTTTGCCCTTAATACTCGATTCTGAGCTGATTTATTGAAAAGAGGGAGAGGGAGGGAGGCTATTTTTGAAGATAAAAGATAATTTATTGGAGAAGAAGTAGTAGTAGAAGAATAAGGATAATTTGTATTTTTTATTTTTAGGCCATGGGAACGCCAGAATTTCCCAATCTTGGAAGACACTGTAGTGTGGATGATTGTCGTCTGATTGATTTCTTGCCCTTTACATGTGATCGATGTGACCAGGTTTGTTGGCTTTGTTTGCCTTGATACTGATTGCATCTTCTGGTTCGCTATTGTTATTTTATGTAGAGTATTCAGTTTGGTTGATTTAATTGTTTCATTTTACATGTACCTGGTTTTACCTTCCATCAGAAAAAGAAGAAGAATAATAACATCTATTTCAACCTTCTTTTCTGTTCATTTCTTTTTCAATGATGCTGCTGAAAAATTTACATTCCGTGCACCAAGTTTCAGGAATTTCTCTTCATTTGTGGGGTTTTTTATTTATAAATTTTCAGGTCAAGTGCGTATATTTGTATTTAAGTTGAGTGTTCCATGGAATGTTGTGGATATGGATCTAACTGTATCTGATGCTTATGGAATTTGGATCGGAGTTGAGTTTCTTGTCTTGTATTCAAAGTAAAAATGAGTGCTGATCTTGGGCAGGGGCCTCTCTTCCACTTTTTTGAAGAATATGCTTAAGAACGTCATTGATAACTTCATACACTTACCTGAGTTTGGATGCCTGCATGGGATTTGGTCATCATGCAGTTCGCTCCCAACCTAAAGCCTTCAATTTGTGAGATAGATGCAAACTAGTAGTTTCAGTTTCAATCCAACTTACAAAGCAGCAGTGTTTTACGGGTGGATGCATGCCTAAACATGGTTATAAAGTGGCATCCAAACATGCCACTGCGAACATGTATATCGTGGTTCATTGTGCCATCAGGAAGAGGCATTGAGTTCTGGTGATTTTTTAGTCCGATAGTATCATTCATCTTGACGCACATATATACACACTTGTGAAGGACTCTCCATGTTATTCTACATAAGGGAAATCCCATGGAAAAGCTGAATTTATCAAATCTGTTGGCAATTGGAGGAATTTTAGTGATGATTTTTGAGGCAATGCTTGAAATCAATGCATATAAAGGATACTTTGCCACCCACCACCTTTTAGAAGTGCCTCCTTTTGTGATGGATTCCTGAAGGACTTGTCTGCTATTACATGGGTGTTTTATAAGAACCATCAATTATTTTAGGTGTCCTGCAATAAATCATTTTTTTGCATCTAAAGGAGAGAATTTAATACAGTACTATCCATAAAAGGAAAGAGATGAGGAATAATGGCAATAATGGTGAAATTCTAAAAAATCATCTGGGTTTTTTCACCTTGGACTTCGATCTCATTGCCCGCCCTAACGATGCTGTGCAAGGACATGTCTTAATGGCATGCTAGTCTTAAGCATCTTTTACTTGATATTCACAATAATCCAAAGGTTTAGTGACTCACCTCTTACCCATATATTCAAACTCAAGGAGTCCGCCTTTGTGATCAATGGTCTAGGAATACATAGAGAGAATGTTGGAAGCCTAACTATGCTTTTGCCTTTGCCCGGTTAAGAGTTACAGAGTCCACCATTCAAGCATCAAACCCTCTCTATTTCTAAAGAGACCCACCCATACTAGATGATCCAAGATTGGGAATTGCTGTCATTGTTATTTAGCCCATAGTTACTAGAATCTCTCACCCCAGGTGGCAATTCCACTTCAAAATCTTGATTCCGCTATTCCATCAATTAATCTTCATGGTTGTTGAATCTCGATTCCACATTTTTTGAATCTTGATTCAGTTTTTGTGGAATCCAGATTCCACAGAAGTATGTTTGTTATAAAATGTAATTTTGTCCTCTCTTCTAATGTTAAGATCTATCAACCTCTCTCCACGAGTGTGCTTATGATGTTTAGACTTTTAGCACTTGTTCCATGAACGCTACAATACAATGCGAATGTAAACAAAAAAGATTTCAAGTGGGGTTTCAATGGTTGCTCTCAATTGTGGTAGATGGTAGTTTTAAGATGGAAAACCAATGGTTTGGGATTGGAGTAAGGCATATGGTGAGAAAGGTATATGATGGAAAACCAAGTTTCCATCCTTTCAGTTTGGATATACTTTTGTCAATGATTGGTTGGCAAAGTTTGAGAGTAAGTCCACTTTGGTATAGTGGCAAAGCTAGATGTGTAGAGGGTTGATTGGAGATGTGGAATTTTAAACATCGACTTATTTGGGCTTTTTAAAGGTGTTTGAATTGAAAAGATATACGTTTGTTTCGTTAAGTGTTTTTTGAGGTTGATGTCTATTTCTTTTTAATAAGCTTGCTAAAACATTTCATGTCTATAAGAAAGGGTAATAAGGTTAGATAGGGGGTCACCTTGTCAAAGCCCATTTTGCTCCTAAAATAGCCAAAAGGGGTGTGAGGAGAATGGAGTATTTGGGTTTTGTGACACACATGTTGACCAAGGTCGGAGTATTTGGGTTTTGTGACACACATGTTGACCAAGGTCTGTTTTTCGATACGAAAATGAATTTTGATATTCATCAACTTACTTTTTCGAAATCAATAGAATTCAAATTTGGAATTTTGTTTTGCTGAGAACCTACTTGTCAAGCCACTGATCTTTTCTATTTGAAGTCCAAGAAATCCTTTATGCTTTGATTTTTGACAGTTTGTTTTGGAGACATATGATCTCTCTGATTTTTCCTAAATTCTAATTATTTTTCTAAATTTTTTAATGCCTTACCGACCCACCTTAGTTAGGCTTGCCAAGCTGACTCCAGACTCGGTGAGTCAGCTCAGCTTGGTCCATGGCCCAATCTCATTCCGAGTCTGACTTTTCAAACACTGGTCCAATGGGGGTTTTGTAAGAGCAAAAAATTTCTAATGTATTCAAAACGATGTTAAATTTCCCATTTTTAACTTTCATGTTTGAAACCTTAAGTTCATCTACATACTTCTAACCTTAGTAATTTCAAGTTTAAAAGAATTACCTTGCGTGGACCTTCGGTCAATATTTTCTTTAATGGAGAGTTTAGAATTGAACTTTGTTTTGCCCTAGTGTTTTTTACCATCATCAATCAACAATGATCACTTTGAATCATTAAATATCCTAAATTAATTGGGAAGATATCATTAAAGGGTTCAAATAATCTTACAAAATCAATAAAGGGCATCTTCTACTGCAGGGTTTGCCATTTAAATTTCATTTCACTAGGTATGTTCTTAAAACATTGGTTCAAAATTCTCAAATTGCCCCTGTTTTGGGTTGGGAACTCAAAACTAGGGTTTTTTGATAATTTGGTCCACTTAAGTCGCACAATTCAAATTACAAAAATAGCCCTAATTGTTTTGGATTGGGAATGTGACAAAAAGTACGCTGGGTATGTATTGCTAACCTTCGACAACTGGGGTACTTTGGACACTTGGCTGTTCCATTTTCCCTATTCTGAAGTGAACAGCCAGGGGTCCTTTTGTCATTTGGTGACATCCACTTAAGTGGTCCAAATTACCAAAATATCCTTAGTTTCTTAGGATTTCCAACCCCTAAAAGCTGTAATTACAGAATTTTTAAAGAATTTTTTTTAAGGAGGAACCTTTGTGAAATGAAATTTAAAAAGTAAACCCTGCGAGGATAAAGGAGATCTTTTGAGTCCTTTAGCGATTTTGTAAGAAAATTTATACCCTCTAATGATATTTTTCCTTCTTATTTCTACTCAAGTATATTGATATGTTTTTTCTCTAAATAGTTTTCTTTTTTAAAATTTATTAGTTCTTGTATTTGTTTTCTATTATTAATAAGAGTAGCAAAAAGTCTTCACTTGGAAGTAGTTGAACCGCTGAGTCTCTTTTCTACCCCTGCCAAACTGCATCAAAATTTGACCTGAAGTTTAAAGCACTTTAGGGATGAAGAAACCCTTTAATTTACCCATATGCAGCTCTCCATATTGGAAGTCTATTCTAAGCGAGGGTAGCAAAGTATAAGACTCTAGTTGAAAAATGAGTTGAGTTCTCAACGACATTTACTTTTGCCGTGCCTAGATCTTTTCTGATCCTCCATGTGGAGAAGTTTACTTGAAAAATACAAAATTCCAGATGTTCAAACAAACCAGAAATGTGACATGTATTCTTTTAAAAATCTCTTTAGGATATAAAAACATCTGTTCATAGTTCAGGGAAAAGGATGATTTTTTTACGAGCCACTGATAGGAAAACACAACTCAGAGGACCAAACATGAAATCCTAAAAAGTCGACTTAGCTCCATGTCAACTCTCAATTACTCTTCCTTTTCAGGAATATGTAACTCACGGGGAAGATTGAGCTACGAGCCTTTGTATGGGTGCCTCGTTAAACAATGCATAATAAAAGGGGGTTCCTTTTAAGAGAGTGTAAGATTGAGAATGAGTATATTTTGGGGCTTGTATTGTTTCTATGATCACAACAAGCGTTTTGAGTTTTCAAAGATACCTTGCTCTTTTTCAGCTAGTTCCTCGGATGAGTTTCTAAATTACCCATCGATGTATTTTTACAAATTCCTTGGCTGCTAGTCTCAATTAGATGGTTGCAAATTTGTGATGTGCGACCCCTTAGATTTTCAACTTAATTACAATCAAGTATTTAAGTTGTAGACTGAGTTGTGAATCCTACAACTTGGTGACTCCCTAAGACCCACTACTTTATAAAGCCATGGTGGAATTAAATGCAGTATAGGGATGTGATTTCCTCTTGTGCCATCCCTGTAAGTCTCTATTTGGTTGTAGAGCTTCCCTATGCCAGTGATATAAGTCTCTATTTGGTTGTAGAGCTTTCCTATGCCAGTGATATATTTAACTTGCATCTTAATGGTGCACTATTTAACCAGCCCATTCTTTTCAAAGTTCAAACTATTTTTTCTGAAACTGTCACTCATTCAGCACGGTCTAGTTGTGTAGTATGTAACATACTCATTTGGTCAGGCAATGGAGTTTATTAACTCTCGCAACCCTTTGGATGTTTAAGTGCACTTTGGCAAGGTTACCACCAGTTCAGTCCCTTTGTTAATTAGTGTTTTCAATAACAGTATGAAGAACTATCATGCAACAATATTTAACATGCAATCGCCACTCATTTGGCACTGTCGAGTTATGTGGTATTTAACAGACTCATTGGGTCATTGGTAAGGCAGCCAGCGTAAAACTTTGCCATGAATAGTGGATCTATGAGTATAATGGCAGAACATGATTCATGTAGTCTGCTAAATAGTTAGCATAAGGCTTAGAGGATGATAATTTGGTCATCGGTAGTGGCATTGGAGTTTGCGAACTCTTGCAACCCTTTGGATATTGCAAGCTCACTTTGGCAGAACAAGGTTGCCTTCGTTGAAGTCCCCTTGTTAATTAGTGTTTGCCCTACTACAAGACCTGTCATGCGACAATATGAGCATCCTCTTCCAGAGGTTGGGATCGAACGTCTACACATGGCATGGAAATGAGTAAAGTGTTCATTTGAAGAACATGTGTATTTAACTAGATAGACTTGCGGCACTATCTAACTGAGAAAATATGAATTGCTAGCTACCTCTATATAGGGTGTGGAAGAATGGAAACATATCCTGTGAAGCTGTTGGAGAGGAATTGTTTTCAGACCTCAGTAATGTTGTTGGTCTTGCTTTATTTGTTGATGAATCTCATTTAGGACAAAAAATTGGAAAAAATTGACCAGAATTGATAGGGGCGTTAAGGCCTTAGACAATTGCTGAGGATGTTTTGCATCCTGGTTACGTGAAGCCTTTCTGACGTAGAAGTACTAATATTTTGTAAGTGATGGGGGTTTGATTGGAAGAGCAGAGAGATTTCATGGTATTTAATGTGGTCCCAATACTCACTTATATGTTGGTGTGTGAGGCTCTATTCCAACCCCCCCCCCTGCCCTGCCCTCCCCTCCCCTCCCCTCCCCACACTCTGCCACTCGCCTCTTGTGCTCTGTTATTATTGTCTGTTATCTTGCTTGGTTTTGGTGGCTGGTGTGGACTTTTCTGATCCTGGGAACTTCTCTTATGTCCTTGATGTGAATAATTAGACCTAGTTTTGGGGGACTGCATTCATTATGTTGATTTGGAGGCTAAAGAGGCTAGTGCCTGGTTTCTGCTACATGGGCCCTATATTGGTTGGGACTTGGTTATTATGTATGACCTTTTGGGATCTATTACTTAGGTCCCCAGATGGCTGGTTTTTGGGACTCTTTTTTTTTGGGACCATGAGGGGGACTCCTGAAGTTGCTATGTGGATTTCCCATGTATCTTATTATTATTATTATTATTTTTTAATTGTGCTATTGTGGTCAACCGAAACTAAAAAATGTAACTTTTACGACTAATTAGAATCAAGTGGTCCTCAAAATTTAGGTTAGTGATCAATAAGAGAACATCATGTGTGGTAGGAAGTGCCACATATTGGAGATCCAAAGCATTCTAGTTGACCAGCTGCTTGAGGTTTGCTCTCAACTGTCGCCAAAAGTCTGTAATTTGCAAAGTCAAAGGCTTTTCTTTGGCATTTGAACTTTATTATACCCTCTCAAGGAACAACAAAGAATAAGAAAACAATTTGATGGTTTTGGGATGTGAGTTCTTTGAGTAACATGTTGATTCGATGAGATTTTGGACTCTCTGTCCCTTAGGATTTTTCTTGGTGGTAAACATATGGATTTCAGTGGGTACATAAAGGGTTGCACCCTTTAAGTTTGTCCAGTAAAATTGAAAACTAGCTGACATATCCTTTTCTTTCTTTTCTCTAAATGCCTATTTTATTGGAGATGTTGATCATTCCGTGCTTCTATATGTGAATTCCTTATGTTATTTATGGACACACCTCAATTAAGTAACTGTCTTTCTCTTAATTGGACGAATTCCTAAACATCAAACAGGTCCTTTGCTTAGAGCACAGAAGCTACAGCAAGCACCATTGCTCGGGCCCCAATAAAGATGATGTCACAGTCTTGGTCTGCCCCTTGTGCGCTAAGGGGGTCCGCCTTGACCCTGAAGAAGACCCAAACATAACCTGGGAATCCCATGTTCGAACTGATTGTGATCCATCAAATTACCAAAAAGCCACAAAAAAGCCACGATGCCCTGTTCCCGGCTGCAAAGAAACCCTAGTTTTTTCAAACACCATTAGATGCAAAGACTGCAACCGAGACCATTGTTTAAAGCACCGTTTTGGTCTCGACCACAAGTGCCCAGGCCCCAAGAAACCCGAACCCAGCTTCTCTTTTTCAGGGTTCCTAAGAGGTCAGAAGAATGAGCCCTCCGGGCCCAAGTGGGCTTGGAAGACTGAGACCACTGGGTCCAGAAGGGCTCAGCCACAGGTGCCTTGGGGTCCAAGCCTTCTTAGTGCAGCATCAAGCATGAGGGCCTCAGCTGAGTCGAGCTTTGCTAAGCTGAGTATTGCTACAAGCGAAGCTTTGCAAAAGGCAAAGGAGGGGGCTATGGCTTCATGGGAAGCAAAAGGTCAAGGAAGTGGGGCCTTGGCTGAGAAGTGTAGGCAATGTGGGGCTCAGTTTGGTGATGTAGCAGATTTGATAAACCATGTTGAGAGGGTTCATGAGGGACCCATGAACAATGGTGAGGCCATTGATGTGTGCCCAAAGTGTCAAAGAGGGTTTAGGGACCCAGTTTTACTTGTGGAACATGTGGAGAAGGATCATAGAGGAAGCTCGAGGAGTTGATCAGGTACCTTTGAGTCAAATTATTTAATTCTTTGTTATTTTTGCTTCTTGTATCCTGTAGTACAGCATGGGTGCTTCAGCACTACTTGCACAATCTGTTTGCCTCAACAGATGGTTGGAGATTCAATGGATTGATGCCCATTGAGATATTGACTACGGTGCAAATTCTCTCCAACCATTCAGCATTGGGGACAGATGGTGATTATTATGGCTTTGGGATACCTTGTACTCCATTGGCCTATGACTAGACTTCTCCTTTGTTATTTTTATTGAACAAACAGAAAATCTTTGTGATTTTTCTTATAATGCTATCCTTGAGTGGCCTTGGTCTAGAGAAAGTTCTCTAATTTTTCATTAGAGGCAAACTGACCTGGATAGTGTATTTTTTGTTTCCAGTCTCCCCTTGAAACTTTTATATTTTGATGATTTTTATTTTAAATGTCAGTGATATGCAAACAGTGATATGTCAGTATAAGTGCCGTTTTACAATGAAGTACGAAGATTTGCACAAATTTTGTCATGAGGCTTATTTTCATGCTTTTGGAGATATTTAAATCTACCTGTTTGGCAATTCTTTATTGGGAAAATGACCAAGACCCCTGTGAAAAAGCTTGAGGCCATATCCAACCCCGTGCTTTGGAGCTAAAAGGCTTCCCCCCGCGTTGCTTTTTCATTTCAACCCCAAAGACCAACCTTCCTACACATTGAGGGGGATCACCTAAAATTTTGACTGTTTTGTCCGTCTCAAACACAGTTCTCTCTCTCTCTCTCTCTCTGTTTTACTTTTCCTAAAATGGCATATAATGATAAGACCCCATTCCATATCCTTTCCACATTCTTTTCGAACAATGTATTCAAATTCCTGGTTAAATTTTCTGATGAGCCTAACTTTTCCAACAAAAAAGTAAAAAGAAGAAAACTTTCTGGTGAGCCTACTTGCATATACTTTGCCTTTGAAACTTTTCCAATGAGTTTTCAGGCTACTTTGTGAACCAATATTCATCATGTACCCTTGCTCCTGGGTCACATTTTTATGTGAATTTTTTCGGCTCAAATTCCTCTCTTTTGCCGGAATTTTTTTCCGGCAACATCATATAAGGACTTGGGCTTGAGCTTGATTGGTTACCAGCTGACGTTTAGCATTGCTACTCGATTCCTACTACTGAACGACCAAAAAAGAAAAAAAAGGAAAAGCATTTCTGGACATTGGAAAACTGAAAACCCCAACTCATAATAAGGTTAATATTCAATATCCGTATCTACTCAGACTTTTTCTGGGAGCTTCTTTGGCCAAAAACCTTAATTTATAATAAGGTTAGTAATCAGCATCTGTTTCTTCGCAGCAGCTTTTCCGGCAACTCTTTTCAGCCATTGGAAAAGCCCCATTTCACGTCCAAGATTCATCGTCTGTTTCTTCTTGGGCCTCAGCAACTTTTAGTGGCAAGTTCTAGCGCCACAGGAAAAAACCCAATTCATAAATCATCATTCGATCTAGCATGAATACCTAGGATGCCCCTAATTTTTTGTCAAGATCACACTCATCAATAAATACCCTAGATTCTGAGAAAATTCCGAGAGACAGAGAGAGACTTTGGTTATTTTCCTTTCATTTATCTTTTTATGGATATATTTTGGCCTCATTTGATATAGCAAAGAAAGTGTACTTTTTTAGCGAATATCTACGGGAATTCATTATTTGTAGATAATTTATGTGTTTGGAGGCCAACAACCATTAGATCTTTACCGGATAGTTGGGAATGAATGATAATCATGTTAAGGCTAATGCCGATTGTATTTCTTAGATTATAATTGAGGAAAATATTTGACAGGGCTGCTGTCTTATCAAAATAAGTAAAGCTTCACCTCAAAACTCGTCGAAAATTGGAGTTCTAACATCGAAAAACCTTCAAATCAATCATCTCGACGTTGACCATTATGCTTGTCAAAAAAAAATTAGGATTTCAAGCCATACAAGTAGTGTTTAAAAATAAGTGTTTATGGATCCACAAGGTCTATACTATGTTTTGAGCTTCAAATTTCAGAGTTAGTATTGAAAAGTGGATTTAGAGGCATCACCATGATATATATAATGCCAATGCCCAAAGTGCTTTCTGGATGAGGAGTCAAGGTCAATGATTGTATTTTTAGACATGTATAAATGATAGGGGAATGATTTATGCAACAGTTGTATGATAATATAATGCAATTATTTTCAAAAATCATGTTAGAGACATTTGTTTGACACGAATATTTACGTGTACACTTTTTTCATTCTATAGAACAATCACAAAAAAGAAAATTTTTAAAAAATGCTCTAAAAAATTTTCATTCTAGCCCAATTAATCTAAACCGTCCATTTCATTGAGATGGTTAGATATAGGCTTCAGAAGGACTTTTTTATTCCCAAAATTTTTATATAGTGTTATCATCATTAGATTAATAATAAAAAGAAAAAAGAAATTTTGAATTTGTTAAGGCTTAGATATTGAAATTCACCAAATGAATGGTCGAGATTCATTGTTGGATGGGTACTAATTTTGACCATATTTAGGGTGCAAATTGAATTTTCTTTTCTGTAGGATTGATTATAGGGATGAAGAGAATGTGTGCAAAATTTGAGGTCATACAAATGCCAAAATATATGGTTTTCTAAAAGTGTGATTGCATTATATTACTATACAACCGTTATATGAAATCATTCTCCATAAATGATATGCATGTGAAGACAAATCATATGCATAACCGTTACATGCAATCATTCTCCATAAATGATATGCATGTAGAGACAAATCATATGCATATGGATACATGTAAGATTCACCATTCTTCCTCTATTCTTGCTGAAGGGAGTGAGAGAGAGAGAGATTCGATACTTGTGATCAATGGTCAATAAACCTCCCTTAATTTGTGTTACGGGTAATAGATGTTCTTTGGGACTGGCACCTATTTCAGTCCTGTCATTGCGCATGTCTGTGTGAATTTTCAGACCTTCACTTGCATTTGGAAAATATGCAGAAGTGTTTATTCCTCCATGGAGGAACCCATAATTTCGTGGGTATATTTATTCTCATTTTTGTGCCTGACTCATCTTGGTTGGGAAATTATTGGACTGCAAATGTAAACAAAGCCTATTCTTTCACATCTATAAAATCATGGGAGCTGAAGCCGTCATTGATTCAATCACTGCTTTTGATGATGTTTTTGAAGGATCAGATCTGTTGATTGATTCATAGTCTTGAGTGGGAACTCTTTCGAAATAAGAAAACATCAATAATTAATAGATTTTAGAAATGACGTAATATGAATTTCTTCAGATTTGCACAAATCATTACTATAGCAAAAAAAATGATGTACTAGAATTTTACTCTAAAGTCTAAAGAAAGTTAAGTCTAAAAAAAGTTTGAACTGCGATGAGATAATCAATTTTGAATGAGCTTTTTGTTTTCTTCATTTTATATGCCTTTAGGATTTGGTCCGTTTGCACGAGGGAGGCAATGGGTCAGCTCAAGAGCACCACGGGATCAAATCTTGAAAATTCAGAGAGAGAGAGAGAGAGAGAGATACCACAACCCAAAACCTAGTTAACATCTCTTTCCTTACAACGATCAAATCTTGAAAATTGTGTGTGAGAGAGAGAGATGAGTTATAATTCTTGAATTTGAACCCAAAACCAAGTTCTCTAACCTTACAACTCATGAGAGAGAAGACGCAAAATAAGTATATTTATTATAGGGACAATATCTCTATATCTCATATTTTTATATTTTATTTATTGAAAGACTCAAAGTTTCAAAAGATATCCTCTGATCACTTTAAATCTATTTTTTAACCAAAACAAATGTGAATATGTTCTTTTTAAACCTAATCATTTCTCTCTCTTCGATTATATATCCAAAACTTCTTTCTTTTTCTTTCTTCTTGGGTCTCTCATTCTCTCTCCTCCTAGGTTTCTCTAAACACTTATCTCACCTCCGTGAAATCCAACCTAATCTTTTCTTTCTCTTCACTTATGTATCCCAAACTTCTCACTCTCTTCTTATGTCTCTCACTCTCTCTAGAAACATGAAGAGAGAGAGAATGAGGAGAGAGAGATAGGAAAGATGGAGAGAGAAAGAGGTCTAGGGAGAGAGATTTGGCAAGAGGTTTTTAGAAAAATGCATGTTTTTATAGATTTGTTTGGCTTAAAAAACAATATTTCAATTAACTTAGTGCATTAGAAGGAATAATTAGTGCATTAGAAGGAATAAAATCTACAATTTTTATGTCTCAAGATATCTTTTAAAACTTTTGTTCTATTGTGAAATGAAACCTAAAAATATGAGATGTAGAGATATTTTCCTTTTATCATATGGCAGGTTCTTATGAGAGAGAGTGGGACATGTGAGTAGAAAAACTATGAAGTGATGCTATTTATAATCCGTGTAATAACTATGGTCCCAAGTTTCAATAGACTTGGATTGATGAGAGGGAGTGGAAGTTCTCGAACTAACTACATGAATTAGCCATGTGGTGTGTGTGCCCATCTCTCTTATTAGCGTTTGATTGACGGTTAGATTCTCTTATTACCGTTTGATTGGCGGTTAGATTGTATATTATATGCCTTTCATTTGATTAATACATGATCATCATCATTATTATAGTTTTTTTTCGATTATTTGGGGCCGGTTAAGTAAATCCAAGTTTGTCATTCTCCGTCTCAACGTACATCTCAACTATACTTACGTCATGGCTCTTCTAGGTATATGCTACCTCAGATGAAAAACCCTATCTGAGTTCAAAAGGAAATGCTTAAAAAAGAAAACAAAGATCCATATGCATTTGCTCTAAAAGAGGATATCAAGGTCCATGTGCACTGCCTGGAAAGGGGATATCCTAAAATCTTTAAAGGTACATATTACCTAAATTTTAGGCAGTCAGGTTTAAGTTTTTGGAAACTCTGAACGTTTTTGTTGTCTTTTTTTGAATGCTCATCTTGTCATTTTAAAACCAACATTTTAGCTCAAGAAAAAGTTATCCTGATGTAGTCTTTTACTGAGGGAGTAAGTGTATAATGTGCTCAATGAGGTACCGTGTGCATTCCTTTGATGGTGATCCTGGTGGTCACATAATCATGCCCATCTAGATTATATTGTATTTTCCATTCCATGTAGATCATATTGTATTTACCATTTAAGCTCTCTCACCCTGGAGCACACTGTCAAGTATCAGAACATGGGCAACTAATATCCAAAGTTGATGCCATGGTTTGAGGCATGAAAAGAAACATTCACCCCTTCATAACAAGAAGGCCCATTCTCTCTCTAAGTCTCAACCAATCTCTGTGCATCACCACTTCCCCACCACCACCACCACCACCACCACCACCACCACCACTACCGCGACCATCATCATGCTCAACCCAATCCAAATCCAATCCCCACGCTCTCCTAGACGCGCATATCAAAGGGGGCAATCTGTTTCTAGCCCGCATAATGTTCGACAAAATGCCCCAAAGAGCCACTCTCTCATGGAATGCCATGATCTCAGCCTACACCCACCAAAACATGCCTCGAGAAGCTCTCTCTCTCTACATGTCCATGCTCTCCCACCAAACCCCACCTGACACCTATACTTTTGCGAGCCTATTCCGGGCCATTGCGGGGCTCACATGCTTGACAATGGCTCGAACTGCTCACGCCCACCTTCTGGTCTTGGGCTCGAAGCCCAATATCTATGTCGAGAGTTCACTAGTGGACATGTACGCAAAGTGTGGTAGCATAGCCAACTCGCGAAAAATTTTCGATTCGATGGTGCAAAGAGATGTGATAGCATGGACTGCCATGATAGTTGGGTGCACCCAAAGTGGGCTTGACTCTGAGGCCTTGGTGCTCTTCTCAGAAATGGTGGGTTCGTGCGCCCAGGCCCCAAATGGGTTCACTCTTGCCAGTGTGCTCATAGCTTGTGGCAATGCCTATGCATTGTTTATGGGCACCCAAGCCCATGCCTTTGCAGTCAAGGCCGGGCTCGACCAAGGGGTCACAACCCGAACATCATTGGTTGCCATGTATGCTAAATTGGGGCTAATACAAGAATCTCATCGAGCCTTCGAGGGATTCTTGGAGGCCAACGTGGTCTCATGGACGGCCATGATTGCCGGGCTCGTACAAAACGAGCACCATGACCTAGCGTTATGGGTTTTTCAAGACATGTTATTGACCACTCTCCGACCTAATGAATTCACGCTCTCGACCATTCTTCGGGCATGTGCGTGCACAGCACTACTTAGGGCTGGATGCCAAGTCCACTCTCTCAGTGTGAGGCTTGGATTCGAATCCAAGTCCTACACAGGGGTTGCACTAGTGGACATGTATGCCAAGTGTGGTTGTGTGGTTGAGGCACGAGTCCTCTTTGATGGGCTAGCCTTCCGAGATGTGGTTTTGATGAATGCTATGATCACAGGCTATGGGCACAATGGGCAGGCTCGTGAGGCCCTTCAATTGTTCAAAGAGATGGGGGCATTTGGGCTTAGGCCTAACTCTACCACCTTTGTTGGCCTTCTATCTTCATGTAGCAATGCTGGTTTGCTTGATGAGGGGTTCTCGATTTTTAACATGATGAGATCCAATTATGGAGTTGAGCTAACAAGTGATCACTATGCATGCATGGTTGACCTATTGGGTCGAGCAGGCAGGCTCGCAGAGGCTGAAAGGCTAATCGAGGAGTCAGGCCCAAGCCTAAAGCAAGATATTGTGCCGTTAAAGGCCTTGTTAAGTGCTTGCAGAATCCATGGTGAGCTTGAGATGGCAAGGCGAGTGGCCATGCGTGTGCTTGAGTTGCACCCTGATGATGAGGGTGCATACATTTTGCTAGCAAACACTTATGCTCGTGCTCGCAATTGGGGCGAAGCTAATCGGGTCAGGGCATCTATGAAAATCATGGGGTTGAGAAAGGACCCTGGCTTAAGTTGGGTTGAGGCTAATGGTGAGGTCCATGCATTCGGGGCTGGCGATAAGTCACACCCTAGAGCTAGTGAAATTTACAGACAATTACAAGAGTTGGTGAATAAGATGAAGGAATTCGGTTATGTTCCTGATACAAGTTTTGTTTTGCAAGAGATGGAGGATGAGACAGAGAAAGAGAAGTCTCTCTACTATCATAGTGAGAAGCTGGCCATTGCTTTTGGGTTGATGTGCATCCCCAACGGGATGCCCATAAGGGTGTGTAAGAACTTGAGGGTGTGTGGGGACTGTCACAATGGGATTAAATTCATTTCTAGGATTGTTGATAGAGAAATAATAGCCAGAGATGTGAAGAGGTTTCACCATTTTAAAGATGGGTCTTGTTCTTGTGGAGATTACTGGTAGAAAAGAAACAGCGATCTAATTTATGGTCTGATGGTGTGATACTTATTAGCAGAGAGTCCAAATTCTCAATTATTTATTGCCAGATACCAAGTGGGAAGAACATATCCGAAAGCCCATTTTATTAATCAAATTGGTATGTTATCCACTTCTTCTATAACCTTTCCGAGCTAAACTCTGAGCACAATTGGAAGTAGGCATTTTAATGCCCTAAAATTTATGAACAATTGTTTAATGCAGGCCGGACTGTATTTCTACAATATGCGGTCTAGA